TAATTTCTTAATTGAAAAGAACACACCTAAATATTGATATTTGTGTGTCACGTGGTATGCTAAATGTAGCATTGGTTCAAATTATATGTTTGTGATGCCCAAATAAAAAGTCTGTAGTTTTATATGAATTAAGGACTCAAATTACCGATATTGACAAGTTAGAATATAAAATAAGAACTTCCTATCTTTTCTATTTGCTGAGACATTGCTTCATGTGCTGAATCAAACACGGTGGCCCAGCCCACCTCTTTCGATTTTTTGTGACACTTGGTTACGTGTGAATAACCAATCAAAATCTCAGAATGTCCCCCACGTGGTTCTGTGAGCCTTTGCAAATTCTTTGCATGGGAAATCCTTTCTTTTAACTCTGGATTCGAAGAGTGTAAAATCGACACTTTAGTGAGCTCGAACTTTCATACTTTTTTAGGACCAAATACAGCTTAGTTACTAAATTTGATAATTTATAGTGGATTTCTATGGTATTGATATTGTAATTTATGATTTTTGGTTATTTAAAATATATATATAAAACCTTAAAAAAATTATTTCGTTTCACATCTTCCACGTGCAAAAGTTGATAAGGCTTAGCAACCTACAGCAAACAGCAAACAAGTACAAAGTTCATCACTAGAAGAGATAATTGTTTGCTATACTTCTTTATTTAATGTTCTGTGTTTTAAGAAAAATAAGTTTAAGAACTTGTTTGTAAATAGTCTTAATGTATATACATATATAATGTATTATAACTGAAATGTGACAGTATTTTATAAAATACTAATCCACTAAAACACAGCCAAGATAGGTCATTTTGTAAAGGCCAGTTTTATATTCTTTCATACGGTTACATGAGTGCATGTGTGCCACGTCATTGCAACCTCTGTATTGTTAGCCAGGCACGGCTGGAAGGTCAATATAATAAAAATAATAATTGTATAATGTTATGAGATTTAAGCTATTTAGACTAAACATTTGTGTTTTTTGTGTTATAATTTGTAGTCATTCTAGAATGAAAAAGCGTAATTTATATTTATTTCCTAATCTTTTATGGTGGTTACGAGGTTGGTCAAATTGACAGATCCCATATGGTTAGATTAGAGAAAATAACAGACAAAATATAAAGTTTTACTGAAAACAAATGTTTGAAATGTATTTAGGAGGTTTGAGAGATTACACAAATAATATTTGAGGTTTTTGGGACGAAGAATAGTTTTTAAATCGTAACATGAAAATCACTTCGCGCTCGTACTAGTAATGAAACAGACTCGATATTTTCACAAACAAATCTTTAGTAAAAATACTTCATTAAAAAAGCTGATTTTTTGTGTACAAAAGACTTGTAATGTTGACTGAAAGTCTACCAAATTTTGTGAACATACACTTACTGCATTAAAAGTTATAGTATAAATACTTAACACATGCAAGTGTGTATATGAACTCATGTATTTTATACCGAGCCTGTTGCGAAAGGGTTAAAGAGTTTATCTAGTTTAAACAAACTTCCAACTCAAGTTACAACAGGTCTTCACTTAAATTTGTTCTAAATAAGTTATGTAGTTCTGCAAAAAAATTAATATTTTAACATGTATGTTCTATTCTTCACCTATCGTCAAACTTTATAACTATTCTCTTACTTTGATTATGAAATGATATAATTTTATAAATTTAGATATCATTGTAACTTGTCTTTTACCTTGTTTCATATTGCTTGCTGAAGATGGAATATCTGTACTCTGAAACATTAATGTTTGAAATGTCTGATGTCATTTTACAAGTGTCAAATATTTGTTGCCATTGTCGTTATGCTTTTGTTCTTTGTTATACATAGAATAAAAACAGGACATAACAGATAATAAAAATAGAACTCAAGTAAGAATAAAACACACAATAAAATAACACTAGGACAATCAAGACAAAATAACAAGCCACAACAACTAAGAAAAACGGACTTTCGTATTATCATCCTCTATAGATTAACAGTTTTATTTTTTGTTTTTTCTATCTTTTATTGATGCTCATTGCCACATTTTTATTTACTTTAACATTTCTCTTCTATATGTTTTGTATGTTTTAGTTGCTGGAAACAATGACACTGTTGTGAAGATTTTAGATTTTGAACTTTCTCTTCTGACAGGTTTTTATTTGTCTGTTTTGAAGTAGCTTTTACTTAACTATTTAGTTATATATTGAGTTCGAGTAATTTATTTTTAATTGTCCAAAATAAGAGCTTATAAGTTAGAGATTAAATATAGACAAAACTTTAATTAAACTTGAGTAATAATTTCAAATATATCAGCACAAGATAAATAGTGAAATTCAGTTAATTTATGGAACTGTGAAAAAAAAAAGGTGACAAGTAAATGTGATCCTGAAAAATATATGTTAATTAACTCTAGAAAAATAATGTTTTAATTTGTGTTACAGAAAATGAAAAGACAACTCAACTTAAGAAACTTGGTAAATATTCTGTACCGTTGGAGATTTCTCCTCAATCTGGTTCCTCTACTGTTACAGAACCTAACAAATTATCGCCAAAGGCCAGACAAATTCCTCTTTATAAATCAAGCCCAAATTCTAATAAATTTGAGAAGTCAAAAGAGAAACATGGGCCAAGTAGGTGCCAGAAGCATCCAGGTTGGCAATCTGGGTCAGGGAAAACAAGTTGGCTTAAAAATGGAAGGATTGGTAAAACATCAAACAAATGGTTGACTGTCACAGCTCAACAGGTATTCTTCTCTTTAAATTACTAAAGTATATAGAACAATTTGTTTATGTACAATTATACAACGTTTAAATGTTGAAGAGAAAATACTTAAACTTCGGCCTGAGTTTGACTTTTTAATTATTATTATTTTACAGTTACAATTAAGAGATAATGTTTTTGTGATAGTTTTCATCACAGTTATGTGTACTTCAGTTCAGGTAATGACTAAATATATTGACTGTTTTTTTTGTTGTTGTTGTTGTTGTTACAAAGGCACAGGGCTGGGTGAACCAGGTGACTGCCCTGGTGGTGTAAAAATCCTCTCGTAAACATTATCGATTGCATGGATACAGTCTTTATGACATGCCTAAAAAGTACCCTGTAGTGCCCACTAGTTTCTCTGTTATTATTTAAGTCCTATTTTTTACGTATGTTGCACTTATATATATGTATATAAACATGCCATTTTATCGAAGGTATGAAAATGTTGAGAATCAATGTGAAGTCAATGAACAGAAAAAAAATTGAATAATGAGAATGAAAAATATAGGGCAACAAATACTTATTCCACCTGGGGCACCATTTTGGCTAAGTCCAGTTCTGTAAAGGCAATTTATTTTGTAAAGAAAACTGTATTATATAAATCTTTTAAAACTAAAGGTGTCGATAACTACAGGTTTTTTGTACCAATACGATTTATCATTCATCAATTCAGCCAAAAATCTGTCAATTTTTTCCAAAATTCAAATCTTTCAATTGCTACTGTATTCTTGTTTTCCAAAAACATTCTGGTGATATATATATTATACATATATCATCTTCATTAGTTTTCACATGTGTGTAAAATCTTGGAGTTTTTTGTGAGTTTATGTATTTTTATAAATTTCATCTGGTTTGACAAAAAAAAAAACGTTTCGAAAACTCGAGTCTTTTCCTTACATTTGTATTTAACACACACATTTTTAGCCTAATTTGAAATTTGTATTTGTTGTGGTAATGCTAGTTTCCAGAAGTTTAATTTTTACTGGTAACTTATGTTTTACACATGAATTATATCATTAAAGTATTGAGGCAATTAAACACTAATAAATGACTTCTATCATTTGAGGTCAAAAATAGCTCAATGATGCGAGACATTCATTGACATGTTTAGTCTAGTTGTATATTTTATACGGATACATTTAGTAAATTACAATTGAAAGAATTTTAAATTTAATACACATTTTACATAAAAAGTATGTTAAACTAATACACCAATTATTGTATCAGTAGGTACATGTATATGCCTATTTCAACAGTTCAAAATAATTATGTAGTTACCAAAGTTATAATTACTAAGCACCTACAATGAGAGAAATTATTGTAAATTTAAAAAAAGTAAATTATCTCTGGGAGAAATTGGTACAATGCTAAAGATTTGTGTAACAGTTATATTTTTTAATTGACTCTTCATTTATCAAACTTTGTCTGCTTGCTGTTAATCTGTTATAGTTACAACTAAAATGCAACTTGTGAGATTACACTAAATTTAATAACTTTTGTTCTTCATGATTTGATGAGAAATTTTCTATTTTCCATTAGAAAAAGAACAAGAGGTTTCTGCTTTTTTTTTTTTTGGTTCTTTTTTTTTTCTGATAGAGAGTAACTGTTTTCCCTGATAGAGCATTCGCCTTCAAGAACGGGAACAATATAGGTTGCTGCTTCAACAGTATACCTCAGAACCTTTATTTCATCAAGTTTCTGCATGGAAACCAAGACTTTCTTTCCAAGATGCTTGTGTACAGAATAATCTCACCAAGTAAGCATTTAAAAAAACCTTTATTACCCTTTATCTGATTTTTTTATGATTAATCATTAATAAATATCAACCATTCTACATACTGGTAAGAGATAAAATTTTGTCAAGTAATGATTTCTTTTGTACTGATATTTAAAGTATTTAACTTGAAAGTTTTCGTGGTACTAGGTGGTTGACTTCTATAAGGGGAATACTTGTTCCTCTCCCTCCCCCCCCCCCCATAATAAAGCTTCGTGACTTGCATGCCCTTCTCAAAATATTTTTTTCGTATAATCTTCAGTCTGTTGCCACTAGGTGGTTCAGCAGTAACTCAGGTCTGATAACATCAAAAATTGGGATTTGACACTCACAGTGAGCAGAGTTGATACTCACAGTGAGTAGAGTACAAATAGCCCAGTGTGTGACATTGTGCTTAACAACAAACAAACAAACATTTGAAGGAAACTGTAACTAGAACTCCAGTGTTTCTTTTGAATAAAGCAAGAGGTATATTCTACAGCTTGTTACCAGTTACTACATAACAGTATGTCAGTTAGAGGTTTTAATTACAGTGTTCGTTTGAAAATCTGTCCAATATTCTATTCCACAGAGTGTATTTTATAATTTTTTTGTATAAGCTTATATTCAAGGTTGAAGTTTGCATCTAAATAAATCCTATACCAGTACTAATTAATGCTTACTAATTGTTTTCTCAAGGTTGGTATATTTTTTTATACATTTACTTAGAATTGAAGGAAAAACAATTAGTGATCAACCAAACTGTTTTGTTTTTCTTATCTTGTAAAGAAATGAACTAGACATTAACTGTTATACATACTCCCCACTCCCACCCCCTTACTAGACATAACTGTTATACATACTCCCCACTCCCACCCCCTTACTAGACAATAACTGTTATACATACTCCCCACTCCCACCCCCTTACTAAACATTAACTGTTATACATACTACTCCCCACTCCCACCCCCATACTAGACAATAACTGTTATACATATTCCCCACTCCCACCCCCTTACTAGACAATGTCTAGTAAGGGGGTGGGAGTGGGGAGTATGTATAACAGTTATTGTCTAGTAAGGGGGTGGGGAGTAGGGAGTATGTATAGCAGTTAATGTCTAGTAAGGGGTGGGAGTGGGGAGTATGTATAACAGTTAATGTCTAGTAAGGGGGTGGGAGTGGGGAGTATGTATACCAGTTAATGTTTAGTAAGGGGGTGGAAGTGGGGAGTATGTACAACAGTTATTAACTGCTATGCATACTCCCCACTCTCACCCCCTTTGTTTACATTAAACAGATGAAGCTGATTTTGGTAGGTTTAAGGCTGCTTACTTAACACACTTAGGAAAGTTTAAAACCATTGTGAATAAAGATTGCAAGTTTGTTATAATTAATCAATTTCTAAACAAAATTATTATATCTCTTCTCACCATTAAAAGCATGTTTTAATCAGGGTTATAGTCTAATTTTTGTTACTTTTAATAGCTTCGTATAACAGCAATAGAGCCTAAGATACGTAGGATAAGGAAAAAAAATACTTAGATAAGAAAAGTGTCAGAGTTTTACTTAATTGTGAGATGTTTTTACTTCATGAGTTTTATATTGTGTTTAGTATACTGATACCTTGCTGTATGTGTTGATTTTAATAGATATGATCGTACACTTTCTATTTATTATAGTTCTAATATTGAAATAAACAAAATGTTTCACAGAAAATAGAAATTTTATAGAATTGATAACAATATATGTATTAGTATTCATACATCCAGTCGGTTCTCTTTACTTATTTATTTCATTTTTGTTGTTGTTCATTACGAGTTTCAATGGAAAAATTGTCCAAGTTCTCATGGTTGTTATTAATTTCGCTATTTCTGGGTTTATAGATTTCAACTTTGTTTTACTTGATAAATCTGATGCAAGTTGATAGTTGTTACAGATATTTATTGTTACATCACATAAACCACCCGTCTTTCTTAACGTCACTGCTCTTTTCTTGTAGAGGGTCTGCGTCTAAGTTGTATGACACTCCAGCTTTCCGAAAGGAAAGATTAGACCCCGTGGCTTCTGAGCACCTTGTGCAGTCTTTAAAAAAAGCTGGTAAGAAGAAATTGAAATTACTTGAAAAATACCCAGACCACCAAGGAAGTCAGTTTCAGACTATTTTCTCAAAGTCTCTATTGAATGCAAGTACATCCAAAACCACTGAAAATGTAAAGAAAGACACGTCCAGGAAAAAATTCTCTGTGGGTAGGTAATACTGATTATAATATCAGATACTGCATTCTGTAAAGAACTAAAATGAGGTTAAAGCATTGTATACATTAGTACAAATAAAACCTTCTTGGTCCAGAAGTGTTATAACTATTTGTGTAAATGGTTTTATATATACAAGTGATTTTATTAATTAGTTGAGTGGTTGACTTTAGTCGTGTCTTTTTTTGTATGTTGGGGTTAAAGTGGTTAAAACGATATGCATGTTTTGAGTTTGTTTTTTTTACTAAAAACAGTTTTACAGATTAATATTTTATGTTTTTATGAGAAAAGTTGTTGATTTACAATAAGTATAGACATTATCTGTTACCGACTTTGGTTTAGTATGAAATTAGTTATATGTATGAGCTGCTTCAGTAAATCAACTGTAAAAATTAAAATCATATAAGGAGATTTTTTTAAAATTATTACATAGGAAAAAAAACACTGACTTTCATACTGTTAGCATCAGAAAGAAACTTATATTTTGAGTTAGGAACTAAACAGAAGAATAATAAAAAAAACACCTATAATATGTAAAGTAGAACCTCGACATTAAGGGCACCCTTCTCGACTGCATCCAAATGCCCTCTACAGCAAGGTGCCCTTAATGATATCAAAAATGAGCCACAAAAGGCTGGATTTCATACTGACCAGACTAAATTTCTGAATTTTAAGGCCCTCCATTTTGTTTGGTGTATGCAACGTGGGTGTTCATGAGTTTTATGTTGCCGTGACATGCAGGGTTGTCAACAGAAGGTCTCAGGGGTGGATTAGCTTTGTCCTTTTTTCTTATTGGTCACAAAGTTTTAAAGTACTTCTCTTCAGAGTTTGAACTGCTAAACATTTCACATTTATTTTCTGCGTTTATTTTACTGTCAACGACTGAAGTAGAAATCTGCTGAAAATAAAGCAACAAATAACTGCTTGTGTCATTAGACTGTTTACATAATATGATACTCTCGAGAGCAACAAAGCACGCACGTAGAAATACTTTATTATCCCATGTAACTAGTGACATTATAGAACTGAAGTCCACTTTATTATCCCATGTAACTAGTGACATTATAGAACTGAAGTCCACTTTATTATCCCATGTAGCTAGTGATAGTATAGAACTGAAGTCCACTTTATTATCCCATGTAGCTAGTGACATTATAGAACTGAAGTCCACTTTATTATCCCATGTAGCTAGTGATAATATAGAACTTAAGTCCACTTTATTATCCCATGTAACTATTGATAGTATAGAACTGAAGTCCACTATATTATCCCATGTAACTAGTGATAATATAGAACTGAAGTCCACTTTGTTATCTCATGTAACTAGTGATAGTATAGAACTGAAGTCCACTTTATTATCCCATGTAACTAGTGACATTATAGAACTGAAGTCCACTTTATTATCTCATGTAACTAGTGATAATATAGAACTGAAGTCCACTATATTATCCCATGTAGCTAGTGATAATATAGAACTGAAGTCCACTATATTATCCCATGTAGCTAGTGATAATA